TAGGGAAAGGGCTGAAGTATTGTTTGCTTCCAGAGCGCTCTTATAGTGGGGGGTGGAAAGGATTTCAAAACAGGATAAAGAAGGAGAACGAGGTTTCAAGTCAGGAGCTCAAGGTAAAAACTGTAGACAGCAATAAAGAGGAAGGGAAAATAAAGCATTGCAGGAAAAGTGGATTAAAGTAAGCCTGGGCGCAGGAATAAAATCAAAATTGGAAAACTGAATCTAAAAAAAAGTAAAGGCAAAAGAGAAACTGGTCATCAGTAGGGGACTTCCATATTGATAAAGCTGGTGCTCTGGTGAGTGCGACTAAGATGCGGTGCGGTGAAACCTCTCAGCTTTATAAATATGGAGGCCCACCACTGCAGACAAGCTTTAAGCAAAGGCAAAATCCGTCATCAGCAAAGGACTTCATTCATGATGCTGATGCTTCGGTAAAGCTGACACCGGATAAGATAAAGCTGCGTAGGTAAGCTGAGAGCTCTCAGCTGTACGTAAGCATCAGCTTCGTAAATAGGGAAGCCTAGTACTGCGGACGGACTTTTATAAAGCAATTTCTACTTACAAAATTTTCCTTTTACCGAGTTTTATATTTGTTTTTTGCCTCTGCTTCCTCAATTTTTGTTTGCTTTTGCTTTCCTCCGCTTTTCTTCATAATTTACAATTCTTTAATTTCGCTTTTTCCCATCTTTTCTTTCATATTTCCAGGTTTTCTTTATTGTCCTTTGTACTGCTGTGTTGTCCCATCCTCCTTAGACTGTCTCCAGTTTTTGCCTCGAACTCCTAATTAGTATCCTTGTCCCTGCCCCAAAATCCCGCCCCCTTAGCGGCACCTGAGCACCCATTACCCGCCACCCTTAACCACTGTCACCAATAATCGTTCCGAACACCTCACTAGCGCCCTTGTCGCTCTCCTCTATCCTGCCTCAGTCTGCGTCCGCGGAGTTGCATCCGGGTACCCGTCCACGACCACTTCCCAGTCACGCCAATCCCCTCCTCCCTCTCCGCTTCACCCATCACCCCTCTAACTCGCGTTTCAGTCGCAGTCCGTTGGATACCTTTACCCAACGCACCTGGAGAAGTGCCAGGCGCCCTTCCCGAGCGTCTCCCCCAAATCAGCATTGGGTGCGCAGCTGAAGTAACCGGCCGATCCGAGCCAGTTTTTAGTAGTTGCATGCTTTCGGCAATTATGAAAAACCCAGCCCGACCCAGCCGGCGAAGAGACGCTTTCGTTTCTCTGCTAGTACTGTTTTGAAGCGTCACTCATCGGGCTGCTTGGCATTTTGCCAACGAGTTTACGATGGTTAGATGATGTTGCTGCGGGGTAGAGTGCGACGGATTGTGGGTGACTAGATGCCGCTCTGGGGACAGAATAGAGGAGGAGGACAAGGCCAGTAGTCGGGAGTTCGAGGCAAGAACTGGAAATGGCAGTAAGGAAGGGATTATAACACAGTATTACAAAGAAAAATAAAGCCAAACTGAGCTTATGAACAAGAGCGAAAAAAAAAGCAAAATCAAGGAGCGGGAGCCTATCAATATAAACACCCAAGCTGGAAAGCACCGGGCGAACGCGTGCGATCATGCGTTTTTGCACCAAACTTGAAGTACACAGGTCATTAACTGCGTGAATGGTTGTTGCCTTACACCTACCTTCTGTGGTCACTAGCATAAATCACCATAAATTCTGCATAAAGTAAATGTACAATACGGAAGGTAGAACTGCCCCACGGCGGATGGCGGCACTCTCAATGCGGCAAGTGGTATGTGGCGTATATTACTAAAACACGGCTCGGCTCGACTCGGCGCGGCCCGTCTCACAAACGAGCTGCAAAAAATTTTTTTCCCAGAAGGAGGGTAGGGTTACCCCACGGCGGATGGAGGTAGTTTGAATGGGGTGCCAGCGTAAGTTTAAAAAAATAGGAGGGAAGGAATTTTATGGCTTTTCAGGTCATGCATATGTGATATGTAACGTATAGGGTAGGTGCATTTTACAGCCCCTTGAGGTCATCTATACACCTCCTACCTTGGCT